TACCTGGACATTTACATTGTCTAATTAAGAGATTTTGTTCCTATTTATATAAGTAACATAGSTCATTAATGTTTTATTATAAACAGTTTCAACAGTATTACGTAACATTTCATTAGGGCACGCCYAAGAAAGATTTATTGGCGAAAAACAGAACGTGAAATGTACTTCCACGTGGGATATCGGGCAGRGTATACACCTTACTACTACGTCCCCCTGTAAAGCGGGCTTAATAAGGTGTGGTTTAATCCCAGGTGAGGAGTGACATTTCCTGGCATTCACTCTGCCGTACGAGCAGAGACTGATTTACACGGAAAAATTACATACAATAAAATGTATTTTTTTCTCATGCCAAAATCAATTTTTATCAATTTTTATCTTTTGTAGCCTGAGTATATCCGGTTAACGTTTACGAGTAAACGCTAGATGAACTCAGGCTAAGTCTTTTGATGACCACAARACTCGCACTAATTAGAACCAATCTCGTACCCAGTCGCTTCCCTTTTTCGCTGTCCTCGAAAGGATTGGTGCGTCAAGGAGACAGACTGCACTTCCAGTCTTTTTTTCTCCATCGCTTTCTTTATTCATCGAGAGCCGTTTGCAATAAGCGCAAGCCTATATTATTGTAAGTCTATAATAAATTTTCCACRCAAAAAGGGTGTTTTTATAATAAAAGAACGAATAGAATATAGAGTTTTTTGAAGAATGACGTTTTTGGGGAGCGGGCACTAATGGGCTTTATGTATATTGATATATTTTCTCGGTGGTAGAGTCAACGCACTTGTACCGTGAAACATAAATCAAAGAAGTACAGTATTAAATAGATTTTTTCGCACTATTGCACTGACATAACAAAGTACTCTATGTTTACAAGTAATGCAGGCGTAGTTACAGAAAAAGCAGCTTCATTCGTTCAAATCTATNATTTATTCGTCCATTGCTGTTTCTGTATTTGTCGATGTTCCAGAATGATTTTGGAGCTAATTTGCTTTGTAATTTTCGTTTTTTTATTGATCGATCACGTGTTTTTAAAGCACAATACGAAACTTCCACCAGGTCCACGTCCATGGCCAATTATAGGAAACCCAAGCTTGCTTTTCTGTGCGAATCTGTATTCACATTTGACAGAGTTGGGCAAGAAGTACGGTAATGTGATGACTGTATACATGGGTCGCAAGCCAATGGTTGTTTTAAGTGGACCTGTCATCAAAGAAGCCCTTGTAAACCAATCTATTGAATTCGCAAGTCGACCACCAAGAGCAGAAACGTTTAGATTCGATGAATCACAAGCACCTTCGTTGTTTTTCATGGAATACGGACCAGCATGGAGACTGTTTCGTAAATTAGGCCATCAAAGCATCAAGGTCTATGGCCAAGAACGTCTACAGGAAGTCATGGACTTAGAAATCGACGACCTTTGCAAACGCCTGGAGAGTTTGGAAGGGAAGCCTTGCGATGTCAATAAAGAATTTGCCATGTCAGTGACGAATGTCATATGCAATCAACTGTTTGGTAGTAGGTACGATATCGACGATCCAGAGTTTCTTGAGATTTGTAGAGTTCATGATGTCATCATTCATACCCCTGTGAGACGATCTATTCTAGAGTTCATTCCATTTTTAAAGAAGTTCGTACCAGGATCCAGCCTTCCCGACAAAAAGGTTCGCGATGCAGCCAACTGGAGAGATGATTTAATGAGGCGTGAATATAGGGAGCATCTTGAAACTTTTGACGAGGATAATATCCGTGACTATACCGACGCTCTTCTGAAGGCAAAACTGGATGCTGAACGAGAAGACTTATCATCCAAAGAATACTTGACTGAACCAGCTATATTACGAGCTGGCTTGGCTACGGTGTTTTTAGCGGGGTCAGAAACAACGTCCACTACGTTAGGCTGGGCAGTGAGGTACTTACTGCACAACCCCGATGTCCAAGACAGGCTCCACAAAGAGCTTGATCAGGTTTTTGGTCCAGATCAAACCCCTAAACTAGACAGCAAAAAGGCGTTGCCACTACTGGAAGCTTTCATGGCCGAAACGCTGAGAATGTCCTCTATTCTTCCATTGAACATACTCCACCGTACAACAWCTGATACCACATTAAGGGGATATAAGATCCCAAAGGGAACAATTATTGTACCCAACCTATGGTCTTTACATCACGATCCCTCAATCTGGGTCAATCCATTTCAATTTCGCTTGGAAAGGTACCTTGATGATGAAGGAAAGTTTGTGAACCCACCGAGTGGAACATTCTTTCCATTTAGCGCCGGGCGGCGTGTTTGTATGGGAGAAGTATTTGCGAGGTCTGAGTTGTTTCTTTTCCTTGCTGGAATTCTTCAAAAGTTCAGGTTTGAAAATCCTCCAAATGCAGATCTTCCATCTCTTGATGGAGGAGAGGGCGTGGTGATGAGTTCCAAACCTTTTCAAGTTTGTGTCATAAAAAGAGGGACGTGAGCTTAGTGGTGGATTGTAAGAATGTAAAATCAATTTAGTCACGACTTGCATTTTTGGTGCTGTAATTCAGGGGGGATACAGGGGAAGGGTTTCATGTTATTGTGCTCGTACGTTTTTTTTAACATTTTTGGAGATTACCGATTATTGGGTAGATTGGATTAATCCCACCACCCCTCATTTTGATCCTTAAAAAATAAATGGAATAAATGCATAAATAAATAAAATGAATATAAAAAAGATAAGTAAAATATATAAGAATAGATATATCTCAATTAAAATGCGGATTACATTTCTTTGTTTATCTTGGATTCTTGGGAGTAGTTTTTATGTCATTGATAATTCAGTTATTTACATAAAGTGTATTGGCCTTGGACATATGATCTTTTTTCCCACTTACTCTAATCCTGTAGTATCCGCGACTTACAGAGAGATAAGAGTGTTTCTACGGGCTTAGAATGCAAAGAAAATCGTAAATATTTTCGTAAAAGCCACTCATAAAACGTCTTCAGGTAGAGTTGAATTGAAAAATATATTCTCGATTCGTTGTTTTGTGATAAGACACCTACAAGCAGGCGCGTAGCGTGGACTTTTTGGCTAGTACGCACATGTCAGGGAGCTCGACACATATTTTGGATTTGGGGGCTAACGACAGCCGAAGGCGGGAGTATTAAGGAGGGTCTGGGGGTCCTCCCCAGGAAATTTTCAAAAGAATAACTCTTGGAAATGCTTTTGATAACGAAGCCTTGGTGCGAGAGAGCAAACAAAGACATTTATATAAAAAAATCCCGACAATTTCCTTGCCACTAGTACGCACGTGCGTATATGCGTAAAGGACGCTACGCCGCCTGGCAAGGGTGATATGAGACCAAGATACCAAGTTCTGATGTTTTCCCGTACAGATCGAGCCAGCGAGGTTAATAACTTCAATGTTTATTATATGGCTTTTATATTGTAGAAACGTTGCTCTTTTCCAGTAAACGAGCTCAAAGAATAGTCATTGAATTGAGCTAAGTAGAAGAAGAGGAGGATTTCGTTCTTGCCAAGATACCGGCTTGAATCCCTTCGGCATTTCACTTTTGTTTTGAGTAGTTCTGGCATCTTTTGAGCTTTTACATCTTGATTTTGAGTTTTACTTCCAATATAATCCTTTTTGAGCTATCTTTAAATTATGGTGAATACTTATCGAGTGATTTTTAAGCTGGATTGATACCATTTGCACTGAAACAACTGACTGTCGTGAAAAGAGCGGGAAAGTCAAGTAATAAGACGCGAGCGCGGACGAAAAAGGCGGGAGTAGTTGAAATTGAATCTTTGTTTCAGATCATTAAAATAATTGATAGTTGTTTGAATTTATTATTGCACAGAAAGTCACGAATCTGATGAAAGTTGGTTTGGTTCCACTAGTCCAACTTACGCAAAAAAATGGAAGTTGGACTGGGCTCGATACCACAGCAATGGTCCAATACGGCTCTGGACAGACCGTCAGCCAATGACCATCGTCAGCCAATCAGAATTCAGGAAATTTACAAACCATAATTTACAAACCATATAATAAAAGCTTATATTATTGTTTTAGGGTAAATTACGTGTGCATAAACATTTAATCGTGAACGAGACGCTGCAACAGAGTGAAGTCGCGGGCTACAATTGTAGCTATTATAGAGAGTAATGAAAACTAGAGAAAAAAGAATAAATATGTAGCTGACTCTATATATTGCTTCGTAGGCAGGAGGGACAGCCATGGTAGATGTCAGCTTGTACTCTGGAACAAGGGTACCCACTAATTCACACCCACGTATTCTCATAGGCTAGACCGGCTACAATTCTACCGGTTTCTTGCCGAAAAGTCGTGTTTAGTCCGCCATGCATGATGCTTTACGAACTCGACCACAGAAGATCACCTTGTAAAGTAACGATGTGAATAGAGACGTACACCAATTTTAATGTATAGTATTATCTTTTTTTCACAATAACCAATCTTACAATAAATAAAACAAAAATATTCAAAAAGGTTTGAATATAAGGGGCATTGCAAAAGAAAGTGTTTCTCGTCCTCCACAGTTTGGACAGTAGAAGAACTTCCTTTCTTCAGGTTTCTTGCCTGATACCCCTGAAAATCGTCCTCTTTTGATTTCAAAGTCGTGATAACTAATTCTTAATTTGGTTAAAGATTTTCTGTGCTTAAAGTTTTGGACTTGGGTTACGTAATTTTTAAACTTGTATTCGTTTGTCAAATAGCCATATGTTCTTAGAGATGAAAATCAGTCCAAGGACAAATCACAAATACAATACGTGGAGATACGTGGATGAATTGATAGTATATCAGTTCTTATATTCTAGCATGCTACCATGCTGCTACCTATTTCACCCCTCTCTTTTTATAACACAAACTTGAAAAGGTTCTGAACTCATCACCACGCCCTCTCCTCCATCAAGAGATGGAAGCTCTGCATTTGGAGGATTTTCAAACCTGAACTTTTGAAGAATTCCAGCAAGGAAAAGAAACAACTCAGACCTCGCAAATACTTCTCCCATACAAACACGACGCCCGGCGCTAAATGGAAAGAATGTTCCACTCGGAGGATTCACAAACTTTCCTTCACCATCAAGGTACCTTTCCAAGCGAAATTGAAATGGATTGACCCAGATTGAGGGATCGTGATGCAAAGACCATAGGTTGGGTACAATAATTGTTCCCTTTGGAATCTTATATCCCCTTAATGTGGTATCAGTTGTTGTACGGTGGAGTATGTTCAATGGAAGAATAGAGGACATTCTCAACGTTTCGGCCATGAAAGCTTCCAGTAGTGGCAACGCCTTTTTGCTGTCTAGTTTAGGGGTTTGATCTGGACCAAAAACCTGATCAAGCTCTTTGTGGAGCCTGTCTTGGACATCGGGGTTGTGCAGTAAGTACCTCACTGCCCAGCCTAACGTAGTGGACGTTGTTTCTGACCCCGNTACCGTATTTCTTGCCCAACTCTGTCAAATGTGAATACAGATTCGCACAGAAAAGCAAGCTTGGGTTTCCTATAATTGGCCATGGACGTGGACCTGGTGGAAGTTTCGTATTGTGCTTTAAAAACACGTGATCGATCAATAAAAAAACGAAAATTACAAAGCAAATTAGCTCCAAAATCATTCTGGAATGTCGATAAATACAGAAACAGCAATATGAACGACCAGATTATATTTCGTGGGGTCACCTGATGAACAATGTGGATGAGGATCGAGGACTGCGGAGAAAACGGGACGTATTGTAAAACGTAGAAAATTGCAAATACGCTATTATATCCAAACGGGATGATGAACTGCCATGAACAAACAGTTATGTAAAAAGATAAATCTAACACCCTAAAAAAGTACGTGAAATAACTTGCTGACGTTTTGGACGTTAATCCTTCGTCGGAATAATCCTTACTTAAATTTATCTCTTTACATAACTGTTTCTTTAGAAGCACTGACGCAGCTCACACTAGTTTACCGATAGTTCCCACCGTTTTGCCATGAACAAATGATTACATAACATTATACTGATTCCATAAGTCGTAATTTCCGTTCGTCGGTTTGAATTCTCACTTCAACTAACGACTGTCCGGGAGAAGAAAAAAAAGCGACCAGACAGACTGGTGGAACCTGGTTGCACCCTTCCCTTGATGCACCGAGCGCCGCTTGAAACATCAAACAGCAAATGAAAAGCTTTCCTTGATCCGCACGCGGATTATCAGTTTAAAATTTGGCAAATTCGGAACAGCCATATTTCTCGTGCCAAAACAAATTCTTAAAATACGTAATGTAGAATTCTTTGTTTCCCGTTAAATGCAAAATTATTTACAAAAATTGTTTCCCTACCACACTGACCACATTTGAAATTAACATTACTGTTTTATAAATAATATTTTTGCTAAATCCTCTCGTTTGCAGTCACTCTCGTATCCAGGGGACGGTTGTACAAAGGCGGAATAGCGCTATCCACCGGATAATTCCTTACTAGCCGATAAAATCCATATAAAATCTAAGGAGTGAACAACTTTATCCACCCTTCGCACAACCAGTCCCAGATGACCTCGTTTCCCGTATTTCTGGTTTGCCCACGCATGCTCAATCGACAATTGTTCTRTCTTGTCCCATAAGGCAGAATAAAAACGTTCACTTCTTGTTAGATAAAACGTTTACTCAAACGCAGTTCTTCTCCTTGGTACAAACTGAAAAGGAAAAATCTTTATCAGAAAAAAAAAACAAAGCGGACATTTTCGAAAGGCAAACGCCGGCTTAGTTACCCTGTCTTGAGGTCCTCGAGCAGTCATCTTACTCGCTTCTTCTCTCAGCATTTTTTCATAAAGTTCATCTTCACGCCTAATAGAAGCACATATGATAAGTGGGAGCGTATTACAACGAGGAGTGTTCACATTAGTTTGGATTTACCTTAAGTGCTCTTGCTCTTCCTGTTCTCGCAATTGAAGCTCCATAGCTCTTTCCTTTCGTGCGGTCAACTATAGAAGGAGGAAAACGCAGTTGAAAATTACCATGAGTTCCCGCGCTCCTTTTGCTGAAGTAAAGCATTTTATGGTCGATGTGTTAAGTCATTGATAGATTTACCTGAGCCCTCATTTCTTCATCTCTTTCTCTTCTCCTCTTGTCTTCCTCTAGTCGCTCTCGTGCAGTCATTCTTTGTACTTCCTCGAGTTCTCTAAGCARTTCTTCTCGACTTTCGATTGATTCTTCTTGCTTACGTTTTATTCGTTCTATTTTGTCGTCGATCTGCTGTTTTCGTTCTTCTAAAACCTAGAATAAACAAATATTTTAATTGTTAAAACTCCTCTCAGTTTATTGTTATCATAACAAACTGATGCGAAGTTAGCTATGTAGATTGATTGACTAAAATAGAGCTCAACTTCGCGCAAGGTACTCTTGACAACGAATCCCAGCCGCTTCTTAAGCCATTATGGTTTACCACCCTCCTAGGACATTTCCCAGTTATTTTTGTAGCACTAAATCAATAAATTTGTCTGCAACGATGCACCGAGTCAAAGTGCTAGTGACATGAGAAGTCTATACCTCAGCCATTAAGCGTTCTCGAGCTAMTCTTTCTCTTTCCCACTCAGCTTGTCGTTTCGCCCACATCCGAGCTGCTTCATCTCTGTACATGAAACAACCACATCGTCAGGAATACACAGATCAGAGATGGATGGATAAATACGTGAATGAAAAGATGGATAAAASAAGAACGAAGGGCTGCGTCAATCAATGGATGGAATAAATAAATGAATGAATGAAACAACGGATGCATGGAAAGATGYAGATAAAAATTGCAAATAAGTGAATCAGCTGATATACAAATAATTAAATGAATGGATAGATGCATAGATGGATGCGCAAATTACGGGAATATAACCTTATTTCTGTAATTCTATATTTTAATTATGAGCATAAATTTGCACTAGTCTACAGGAGATAAAGGTATTATTTAGAGCTCATTTAGGGTACCTATAAAGCATGTCTAATTCAGCTTCTCKTTCTTGCTCTAGCTTCAGCTGCTCGGCAACAACCTGCAAAGACAAGCTGTTTAGTCACGTGMCTTCTKGTTTACACAGGAARCCCATAAACAGCTTACCTGTCTCATATAATCAGCATCCGCTTTAGCTTTCTCACGTCTTGACGTCATCAYCACTTTTTCTTTTTCCTCCTGGAARAGAACATGAAAATAAAAACATAAGCCACAGGCAGCCCATCAAATCGGTAATTAGCACATTTTACGCTTTTCTATAAAAAGACAAATAAAAAGCTAATAAAAATACAAGCCTTTGCATAGACTCATTAGACTCAAATGACAAAAACAAAACAGTCATTTAAATGTAACMATTTTTTTCTATGTGTTTTCTACAATTCAAATGCATTACTGAACACAAAAAACACAAACATGGCAAACCTCTTTTGCTAAATCTTCCAATATTTTGAGATCCAATTCCTAGTAGGTGGAAACAAGTATATATTGAGATCCATTATTTTACATTATAAGTTAGATGTATTTACTCAAAAAACATTGATTTATGGTTTCATGTACAAACCAGTGCTTTCTGGATTTCTTGACTTTTTCTTTTCATCTGTGCTTTATGTTGTCTAATCAGTACACGGCTGATGGAATTCAAATAAAAAAACAGTTAAAGATAAAGAACAAGACCTGTAAATATCTCTTTGGTTCACAGTCAGGGACAACAGATTGCAAAACACACAAAAAAAAATTCAATTCCTTTAAGTTATAGTTTATAGTCTTTCGCCCAGAATAACCTCCTTCTTTAGCGCTACATGTATTAACGTTCTATAATCATCAAGTACATGTACCAGGTTACACATATTAACCAGGTAAAGCTCTTGTCTACTCCACCAGTTCAGTAGATTATCACAACGTGTATTATAGGAATATAACTTAAAACGAAATTACCCAAAGTCTCTCTTTCGTCTTTCCTCTTCAAATCTTCTTCTTTCTTCCTCCTAAGCATCAAATAAACACAAAATAATTCCCTTCATTTATTGTTAAGTATAAAAATTTAAAACTCTTGCTGTAAGGGCATCTTTAAAATATCCAAAAAAGGTTTAGAATTATAGTAAACTGCACATACTGCATCTTCAATTCTCCTCTGTTCATCAATTAAGATTTCCTGTTCTCTTTTCAGCATTTGTGCCTGTAAAAGGAATGATATTATAGGTAAGGCCACTRGTTATCAGGATGTGGCAAAAGGTTGTTATGGTTACCTCTTCCTCTCTGAGCTTTAATTCTTCCATTTGAGATTTGAGTTGATCTGCGATTGCTTTTCCTTCCCTGTGAAAAATTTCACATCATTTTATAAATCAATTAGTCACAAATGTATGGATGTCTAAAATATATAAACGTGGTATGATTATTGAAGGAGTCAAGCTTGATTTTATCAAGCTAAAAAGCAAAGCAAAACRTGAGAGAAGTGCAAAATGACAGTGAATGCTAATTAAACTTTTCTAGTGTTTTTCCTTTTGTGCTTCAGTCATGTGTGCATGGTTTAATGCCATCATAAACASACTTGATTACTAATCAAGCTTATTAATGATAAGAGTTTGACAATATCATGATGCACAATGCATCTTCCTTGTGTTTTCACATTATAGGAAGTGGACCCTTTTGAAAGACTCACCTTATTTTCTCTTCTTGTTTTTGCTTCTCTTTTTCTAAAGCTAAYAATCKTTCTCGCTCCATCATGGCGTTAACTCTAAAACCACAATATACAAATAGCATCAATAAGGTATAATGAAGTGTTGGCTGCAAGGGTTGGTGGTTGGCAATAAACAAGAAATAGGAATGAAGTATACATTTAGCATATTAYTAATTTAAATAGAATGATTGTAATCTACCTTCTCTCTTCATCCCTTGCTGTTTTCACATGCTGTTAAAATACAGAAATAAATAAAAATGATGAATGACAACATTCAACTCCAAACACACCATCTTTTGATTTATGTTTTTTTGCTATTATTGGCACACCAAATAATGCAATGAAAAACAAAAAATACACAGAAATTCCTGCAATGAATATTTACCATTCTTGTTTCATATTATGCACAATAAATACACTACAATATTGACAGGGCTTACTTCAAATGTAATTTACTATTACATCTTTTCATTTTATTGTCAGGTCAGATATTTTATCTGCTACTGGTAACATTGTAACCCAGTACAACCTGCCTCATGGACGGGTCGTCGGCGTCTAAACCGGCACCCCCACCAGTCTATTACACTGGTGAGGAGGGTGGCATGACACCCAGCAGGACTAAAAACAAAACCTGTCAAAGCGCGAATGAGCTTGGTTAAGCCACCGGGCATAATGCAAAAACATTTGACTTATTGTGATGTAATATGATTGTTGTGCTTTTTTAGTTTGAGATCTTGGGGCGGACTGTGCAGTGGAAGCCAGAGGCGCCAACTCAAGCTCACAGTCTACCAAGACTCTCATGTGTTTTGTAGTTGTCATGTAGTTTTAAAGTGCTTAGAACAGAATTGGATAAGCGCTATATTATATATAAATAGGATTATATATTTTTGTCTGTCCTTTACAGACGTTGTTACAAGACAAAGTATCTCCATGTAGTTCAGTCAAATTTATGCATCACACTGAAAATTCATGTAAATTATGGTGACAAAGTCAAAAAACACTAACCTGTTCTTTGTCAGCCACTTGATCACCCCATCGTTGTACAACATGTTGCTTTAGCTGCTCAGACTCAATCTATTGGTCATAAAAACATCAAAGTAAATCCACAGACTGTATTTAAAGGCAAACTCTATATTATTAACAATGAATACTACAATCTTGTGCTTGGTGTTTATCCAGTACCAACCTGTCTTAATTCTGGTGCATTTTGCTTCCAGTGTTCATAAAGTTTTTGTTGTGCAACCTTCAAAAATAAAGTCATTTTTTATTGACTAAATTACAATTGAGGAATTATTGCATTGCAATGTGTAAAATTATTGCAATGCAAGTCACTTCTAAACAGATAAAAAATGAACACAAAAAAATGAACACCTCTTTTCTCCTTTCTTCTTTTCCACTTTTGAGTTCATCAGCCCTTTTAAAACCAAATCAAAACAATACCTTACCTTTCAAATTTTTTATAAAATTTATAAAGTAAGAACTACATATAAAATTGTATCATCACTRAAGGAAAATATCATTCTATGGATACCTTTCCTTCATCTGTAACACTTTTCCTGTTCCACTCAATCGCAAGTCTCTGAGCTCTCTCTATTGACATGAAATAATAAAATAATATAAAATAATAATAAATCTGTACTGTAAATCATTTTACTCTTCACTAAAACTACATTTGAATGCATTTTGCCTTATATTTTTATCTGACTATGAATGCAAAATTCAAATACATTATAATTTTATTATAACACCTTCTGATGTTAGACTATGTCACATGCAGGGGGTGTCCGACAGAAATACACAGGAAGCCCAAGCTATAAACGATTTGTAAATATTTTCCAATATGACCTACAACTCGAGTAAATAAATATATTGGACAAATAATTGTAAATTTAATAGTAATGTTTAATATAATGCATTTGATTCAATAGACATTGTATATTAAATTTATATGCTATCACCTCTTGTTCTTGTTTCTCTTTTAAAAGCATTTCTGTTAATCTTTGTCTTCTTTCCGTTAAATTGTCTTTTGAGAGTTGTTTTTTGTATAAATCATCAACGGCATTCATGCTGAAATACAACAAATGAAGTAAGTTTAAACCTAAATGTAAAAAACATAAGATCTAAAGCTTATAGCTTAACTTTTAACACAGCATAAGCTTAACTTAAGAGCTCGAACCAATTCAAAAGTGGGATATGATTTCGATTATAAAGCACAAATAAAAAATAATTTAGAAAATTACGTTAAGCTCATATCTATTAGATGTAAATACACATTCATTTTATGCAAGAATAACAACAAAATCGTTGCTGAGTAACAATTCTTCTCGTGATCTTCTCATTTCAGGTCAGGGAAAATTGGGCCGTTTTTACCCTCGTGGACCCTCGTGGCAATTTGTGACCTAACTTTATAATAGATGAAAATAAACTAGTACTAACAACAAAAATTAGAAAGAAAGCATTCCAAATTCACCTCTCTTGAAAGGAACCTTCTGAACTCCAAGCTCTCTGTTTTGTGGCTGTGACTTCGTTTCTTTGAAAGTACCTCGCGTTGCTATCCCATGCACGCCTTCTGTCCGCTTCATTTTGTGTTCTTCTGACCATAAGACCCTCAGAAATACTTTTGTAGTTCTTCATCCAGTACGGCTGAAGATTCGGTAGCGCCATTTTGAAATTATGAATATATTTTGAAATTTGTAACTAACTGAAGTCATTTGTCATGCGCGAATGAACAAATTCACCAATCGGCTTTAAATAAGTGTTTGTCAAACATACTATATCAACTGCCGAAATAGCTCAGTTGGGAGAGCGTCAGACTGAAGATCTGAAGGTCCCTGGTTCAAACCGGAGAGCTCGTAGGAGTTCTGAATAATCCCGGGTTTCGGCAGATATTTTTTTTTCTTTTGAATCTGTTCTCTTTTTTAAAGTTGTTTTAAAAATTATTAACATTGTTTTTTATTTAGAAATAAAAAAAGTCAAAAAATATAAAAGCACGTAAGTTATCAAGCTCTTTTTTGTTTGCTTCGCTTATTCAGTTTTCAAGAATTTCAATTTCTTGAAAATTTCATTGATATTTTTTTCCTTTTTATCTATTTGCTCGAGAAAAAAGATTACTAGTACAAACCGGGAGATTTGACTTAGGACTATAAAAACTTCATTTTTCCCATCTTCTACATAACTAATATCTGCATTTTATTCTGTTTTATGAGTACAATATAGAGATTACATATTTATATATCTATATTTGTTTCATTTTCTAAAAATGTCATTTTTCTACAAATATATAGGATTTTGGGATGCCTGTGGATTTTCAATACAAAAGTACCACAGGAACCCCATAGCTAAGCTAGGACAGGATATTGTTCTATTGTCACTTCCTAGATTTATCCAGTAAGTCTTGAGATGAGTTTTCTGGTAAGTTTTCGTCATCRTCRAAAGGYTCTTGGAACGCTGGTACTGWTTTTTTCGCCGGACCTTGACGTGATTTTACGGGACTGGAGCCAGACTCCTTACCAGGCCCTCCTCGTCCTCSTCCTCCTCCCCCTCCTTCGGAAGCATATTCTGGTTCTTTGCCTTTTAAGGCATCAATGGGACTCAGCCCTCCAACCGAGTTGAAGCAACAACTGAAAATTAAGCAGCATAAAATGGTAGCCAGGTGAAGAAAGGCGACTCCCAGGCCTGCACCTCCRACAACTCTTTGTCGTTTATCATGGAAGTAGTTAAGTCCTGTACATCCAATAATATTGATGACGTCAACAGGGTTTTTAATGTCCATATCCCATCCACACTGTGGAGTTTGTACTTTACAACAAGACGTAGGTACGCGGTTAGTTACGCCCTGTGAACATGCAATGATAGCGGAATGAAAAACGGTAAATTGTCAACCATCAGTATCTTATTCTGAGGTCGATCCAACACCGTTTGGGATGCGGATAAAAACACTAAATAAAATTTCGTAAGACAACTACTAGTACTGTGATCGACAAAACAGCCATGTCACTTTTCAAACGCAAGTGTCTTTTAGAGGATAAATACCCATCATTCTCAGTTCTACAAAAATCATCAGTGAACATCGTTTTTTGAACTCAATACACAACTATAGTAACTATAGTAACTACTCACTTGTTTGGCTGCCCAWCCAGACGTAAACCAATCACGGTAGTCCTGGACACCACAGCAAGCAAATCCTGTCTGGATTTCATCAAGTGCCTTAGTTACACCAGCATCTGTTCCATAGATACTTAACAACTGATATCCACTGGCTGACGTGCTGTCCTTGACGTTACCTTCATTACGTAACGAAAAATACACGATTCCAAGTGATAACTCAGTCACAAACAAGATAAAGAACAACACYCCAAGGATTGTTAAAAGTCTATTGTTTTCTTTGATTGCAGCGAAGATAGTTAATCCAGCTACAAATAAAACCAAGAAAATAAGACCAATTCGAAGTCCAAGCTTCGTGTCAAAGGCGTCTGGCTTAAGAGTAAAATAGTTGCCAAAAGGAGTGTCTATAGTAGCACCAAATATGATCAGCGCTAAGCCAATGATCAGGAATAGCACAGTAAATCCAATAATCGCAATCTTGACAACTTTTCTGCCTTCCAACGCCATGCTATCGTCCTAAGTGACAAAATCTACAACATCAAAAAAAGACATATAAGTAATTCCACAGTGATTTCTACCGCTATAGGAAAATGGACGCACATTTTGTTTCTAAACAACAATATTCAATTTTTTGCGATGGAAGACATCGTTGCGGTTAAAGTGTCAGGATACGGTAATTCCTGAAATTGCGTAGTGCGTTAAAAATGTATCTAACTTTATCATTGGTTTTTGAATTGCGCGCGCGATAACTGAACTGGCATTGCAAAATAAGTTTCAAAAGCGACCTTCAGTATTATCGTACATAATTCCATCAAAATGCTGCACCTAATTTGAACTAGACCTGTGCGTCATATCGTCATGTCCGTTTCTCACAAAATGACTGTTACCATAACACTATATTGAACGAATTGGAAATTGTCATATCATTATAGACACATAATATCAATATATTATTATATGCGATATTCACAGCATACATGTTTAATAGGATTCTTTTGACTTTATTTCAGTCGTTTATGTACTCGCTACCACCATATCTTTCAGAGTTTCAGACAAAGGGTAATCTCATTAATTGGTCACTGATTAATGCYATTAGTAGAATGGAAGKTCATGTCGTGATAAGCCACTCTTTCCTTCAGWCATCAATGCAAATAATACCTGGTCTTTCATTGTTMATGTACGGGACTATTCTTTCGTTAAAGCAGACTTTATGGTTTGTTTACTAATTGCTTACAGGTTGAGCGCACGACCACAAACATCACACGATCAATAAGTGGTCACTACTGAAAGRTAACGTGGTCCAGCAGAGATGGAAACGCGATGAAAAGATTACAGAATAAACAAATGAATGACTGGAATGACGTTGCGCTTATTATCAGAAAAGTTTCTTTTTAGTACAGTGAATAACGGACATGTTATTAAGTCTTACCTTACCACAGGTTCTCCAGCTCTACTGATATCATGTTACCGTTGATTCAATGGAAAAAAACAAACGAAAATCCCATGCCATTCCRCTTAACTTTCATTGACGACGTTTTCAATCTACAACTAGTATTTCGCGCCACTTTTAGATCGCGTATTTTAACGACAAAATTTTCCAGTTTTCCTATCAAAATTGCATTAATTATTCAAGGAAATTGGTTATTTCTAGAAGGAATTACTAATTGATTGACTGTTGTAGTGTCGGTTGCTCATTGATTCGTGAAGCAGGTGATAGTTGACACCTGCTGAGAAACCGAAGCATCATGGGACACTATCAGAARCTAAGGGGAAAAACAATGTGAAATCAAGGCACATGATTGGTTGAYTCAAATAGCCTAAAACAATGCTCTATTACAACTGGGGACCAAAAGAATCAATCCCTCCGAGTGCGTGAGGACTAAGAACTAGAATTCGACTTGTACTGATCCATCTCGTTCCCTCTTTCTAGCTCCTTCACAAAAATAAAGAAATCAAAGCAGCCAATCACAGTCAAGCGAATTCAACCTGCAYAACTTGTCAACATAACCCTGAACGGAAAATTGTTTGTAAAATATCTACACCTTGGCCAAGCTATGGAAAAACTATGGATAATGACTGAACGCTCTTAGAGCACTTACTCGGGCTACAGCATAGAGCGTCACGACAATTCTGGCGTCGTGCTATGCATCGCCGCGACAAACAAAATCAATCTATATGGAGCCTAATACATTGGCACATGGTTGATTCGAGATTCGATTGAATAGAAACGAATACATGAGGAAAAAATATAGCTTGGTCCTATAAAATGCAATCATATATGCGTCRGTTATTGTCAAATAATTCATGTTTACATGCACATTTAAAAGTTTGAAACGATGATAGTTCAATATTTGAGTTATCATCGAAGAGCTTTATCCTTGTGGTTCGTCTGGTACTGTCGTCGCGTCCACTTGCCTAGCTTGTCGCGCTTATTTTAGTTGATTCATACTTCGTGCTGTATATGTACTTAAGTCACTTATTACAATGGTTTGGCGCGACTACAGGACAACGTGGTGTCAAAAATTGTCGATTGTACGCTCAATGTATCCATGGTGACACATAGAAACAATTTTCTCCTCTGATGAAGGACTAACGTCTGAAACGTCAGCAAGTTATTTTACCTACTTTTTTACGGTTTTAAATTTATCTTTTTACACAACTGTTTTTTAGAAACACCGAMGCAGCTCACTCTAGTTTACCGCTAGTTCCCACCATAGTAACAATGTCCCAGCTGCGGATTTTATTCCTACGATGCTTCCAAACAGATCAGAGAAATTCCTTTTGTTTCCAAAATATTTAGGCTTCATCCCACCAGCGATGCTTCGAGCAGAATACCTGTAATTGACAGTTTATTTTGATCATAGTCATACATACATACACCTATACTTCAAAGAACGCACGTTAGATATTGCATAGCGCATGCTCATGAATACTATCGAAGCAAAATGAAGCAGTGTTTGAGAAACCAAGTAAAAGTTATACATGATTGCTTTTCCTATAATGTTGATATTATGCAGGTAATCGATGGTTTTGTTGATATTTTAGCTACATTTTCTAACCTTCTTATGCGGCAGTAAAGAAATTATAAACGAAATATAATCAAAATCATCTAGTGTAGAATACAGTGAAGTCGTCAAACAAAATTAGGCCTAGCCCGGACCTAATATCGCCTTAGATTTAAAATTACGGCGATTTTAGGCGATTTTAGGAGATTTTAGGCAATTTTAGGTCCCGGACTAGGCCTAAAATTACTATTAAATAGACACAAAAGAAAGCAGTGCAATTAGCGGCAGAAAGCCCGGTGAGGACAAAATACATGTCCAAAAGCGCGTTTTTATATTATAGTTCTATTTCAATTGACAGCAATACAAAACGCATTTTTGGGCGATTGTGGCGATTATATTGACACTATAGGCATAAGGGCYGGTTCAAACTACTACATAAGGAGAACCAAACGCGAGAACAAAAGAAAAGACAAAGGAATGGAGTCAAGTGTGTATCGAGTAAGCACATCAATGAACATAGCGCCAAGCACAAGCTTATTAACGACAAAAGACAAGACAWAGACAAACAACTTTCTTTTGTATTTTTTTGTTTTTGTTGTTTTGTTGTATTGTTGTTGTTGTTGTTTTGTGTGTGTATGCTAACGTTGCAGCAACTAAACTGTYTGGTTCTTCTGATTGCAAACCAAAAGCTTTCCTATATAGAAATGATTGGACAAGAATAGAGTTCAATTAGCGTCTCTCATGAAGCCTCGTCGAGACAGAWAAAACGTAAAGATTTGTTGATCGGTTRACTCCAACTGTTCCAAACATTCTCCCTACCTCCATGGTCTAATGCGGCTTGCTAGTTTTGGGAAATGTGGAGAAAATAGAGAACTCTTTTATTATAAGGTCTTATAAAACAATCTGTTTAGTCTAACGCCATGGAAGCAATTACAATTATGAAGCACAGGTTGTAAAATACCCGGCACGTTGTCAAAATTAAAACTACAAGTTGAATACGGGTACGCGTTGCATGGTTGTGTGAAACATGATTGCAACACAATCATCTATCTAAGATACAAACCCATTAAGTTAATTATTATCATATCGTATTCACATATATTTCAACTACAAAATGGCTCTATGACTTAAAACAAACGTATGCAACTTTGATGAATAACTGGAATCGTATCTTCCTGGTACCTGAGCCGGTACCCTGTRCCGTAATTTGATTAGGAACTTTTTGTTGGTTAACTAGACAGACGACTAAATACGCTGTGTCCAATCTTCAAATCCCTCATTATATTAATTGCTTTTTAAAATACCCATCAAAAGCTTTAGAAAAAATACAAGGAATTTTTTTTCTATTCAATATTGACATTAAATTCATTGTACAAAAGTCACCAAAATATAAGATAAAACTCTTTCTCTGCTATTTTTTCTGTTTAAAGTACGTTTTTGTCAAATTCCAGTACGGGAAATAGCCACGAATCTATATGTCATGCTATGTGTAAATTTATCGTTTATTTTAATTGTTAAACTATCCTTTGAACGGGGCTATTCCAGCCTGATCTGGACTTAAGAATAGTTAATATTCCAGACAAAGTATGACCTGTTTTTTGKCTTTGAAAATACTAATTAAAACTGGAAACACATTAAAAATTTATACCAAGACAAAAGATAGAAATTATCAAAAGAAATATCAATAAACCCGACACAGGTACCCGGGAAGCAATAAAGTATATATATGCGTACATTTTTTGTACATTTTGTCAGTGATCAAAGAAACGTCTGTCGAGGTTTTTAGGTAAGTACAAAAAAACGACTCGTAAATTAATCCCATCAAACATTATTCTTCAGTTACCCTTTCCCTTTGATTTTTTCTCTCAGTTTTTTTTCTCATGCCTGCCAACTCATTTTTTGTAAAAGTTATCCAACATTCTTTTTTTGTCCTTTCGGTGGGAGCTAGCGGTAAACTTAGTGTGAGCTGCGTCGTTGTTTCTAAAGAAACAGATGTGTAAAAMGATAAATTAAACACCGTAAAAAAGTAGGTGAAAAAACTTACTGACGTTTCGGACGTTAATCCTTCGTCTTCGCCTTGTAATGTATTTATTGTTTCTTTTTTAAGTCCTATAATTACTTTTATCGTCACGTTTCTTTCTCTAGTAATCATGTTAATCTTCGCCTTGTTTGTAACTTTCTTCTTCGTCTTAATTCCAATTTATATAGATTCGCCGCAAGAATGAAATTCTTCATCGCCGTTGCATTGTTGGTAATTGTTTTGGAGGCAGTTGAATGCAGATCGAAGCAAAGGAGAGGAGGTGAACACCAAGTTGCATGTAAAATACACTTATAAGTGTTTTTTTATATTAGAATAAGGCTTGGGCTGTTAGTTGTTTCTAATGACTATGTTTCACGGGTTGCCGGTTATTGTCACAACAGGATGTTGAATTAGAATGGTTTTCATAATATGACGATCACGTCATTAGAATTTCAATTGTATTTCGCGGGTTTATTACCGAAATAGGTAGCGACAAAACTCGACAAAAAAAACAACAAAAGTCTGACTTTGCATTCCTCAGCGCACGTGGTAAAATAGATAGCATTATAGTTCTCTATAGCTAAGGGACTGTTCCTTTTTTATCGGGAAGGGTAACTGGTGGTTTTGAGGGAGGGGGTTCGCACCCAAACAAAAACCATGTTAGAGTGGGGGGCATGTTAGAGTGGGGGGCATGCCCTATATCACTTGTTTATTCAGTACAACATATTTTTTAAAAATCAAAAGAGGGGGGGTAGTGTCAATAAGACATCAAAGGATGCCATTTGAAAAAATTGTATCCAACTATAAGGGGTCCATTTTTTTAGAAAGTTTCAAAAACCACAAGCCCGATAAAAAATAAACGGCCCCTTAATATGCTTTTACGTCACCTACCTTTGCATGCACTGTGGGACGGGTTTGTCTGCCATGTTTTGTCCTATACATGTCGTATAATGCATTGTGTATAGAGGTCTGATCTCAATAACTGCTTCGGTAGAATAAAAACCAGTCTACCTTGACAAGTAGATTTTGTTAGACAGAGTCACAGGTTTATCGAATACACATTCTCAGTTACWAATAAAAACCGACTCTTAATAAACATTATGGACTTCTGTTCCAAATAAAACTGTAAAGGTCTAACTCATTAAATAGATTTTCTTATTTTCAAGAAACTGTATTACCCATGAAATTCCAACGAATCAAGTACAAAGGCGAATGGAAAGACTGCAAATACTATCATAAAATTGACCAAGCAGGAAATGGCTGTAATTGTGTACTGGTTGGATGTACMGGAGCACGGCAGTGTAATCCGGCTGGCGTATTCTGTCGYCTTGTCAAAAAGAACGTCAACCATGAAGATATGAAAGATGGCGACTGCAAGTGCAAGTACTTGGGTAATCGGGGATAAAGAAGTGTTAAAACCTAGTGTTATGCGTATAGAAAAACTTGTACGAAGCCAAAGAAAGAATAAACAATGTATATAAGTGTGAAATTTGAAATTCACTGCTTGCGCGTTACGTCATCGCCCGCTATGTTGGATAACGGTACTTAAAGGGACAYTGTCAATGGATGACATGCGCAGTAACAGTCTCACCTCTAACGGACTTTGAAAGTATTACCTTCGAGGTAAATCATTTTGTGGTGCKTTTRACACACTTTGGAATATTCTAGATCTGTTTACGTTTACGAGCTGATTTATGTCGCRCCAACTTGGAGTCATAAACTTGAAAACACTAGCCTAATGTTTTCAAGTTTACTCGCGCATGCSTGCCATTGACAGTGTCCCTTTAACAAAGCATTCATCCATGGGGATACTAAGTGAAGTGGTTGCAAAAAATAATAGAAKAGACTTTGAGACTGCTTGCAATCCACAACGAGAYCATGGAAACCACAYGTCACGTATTCATTCCATTGAACGGTAYATTCAAGGTATCACCGACATCTCGGTCAGTACTTCATGTAAAAACATATGAATCGACACTATTACTAATCAATCTGCATCATGGTGGTTAGCCTACCCTATGGAACCTCGCATGAAGTAATAACCYGTACATAGACGTGTTCTTACCCATGATCCATTGCGCTTGTTTTCCAACTCAGTTGTACCAGCAAAGGTCACTGTGTTTACATGTGGATGTGTTGAGAGCCACAGAGCTGAATATGTAAATTCATTACACAGAAATTTCACTCATTCAGTACTCTTTATTGATTTAAATATATTGTGAATTGCAATTTGTATGAACAATCATYAATTTTCATTTACAAAATGAATGCGTAGTGTTTCATGAAAGTAGTTGAATGTTATTTACACGATGTAAGAATTTCGCATAGGATGATATTTTTTAAGTCTACAATTCGCTTTTAAAACTAAAAATTCCAAGAAATCGTCAATGGCGAGGATTTCTAGTTACATYTATAAGTGTTGAAAGTACTTAACAATGGAAATGTGAACTGATCAATTGTAAACACCGGTGAAAATTCGGACACACAATTTTATGTTAAGCTTCATTATGAGATGAATGAAACATTTGGCGGATCAAAGTTTACCYGCAAARAMGGCGCCAGAAMGATGCGCCCAATTATGCTGGATACGTAACAATATCGTAACGTTTACTACTGCGCTATGTACGGAAAMGTCAGTTCACACGTGTCARCGTCKTTGTGAAGTGATACGTTTGGATGCGCATGCTTGTGGAGTCTATTCGGATGTTTTTCCTAGAGAATTCGGTAATAACGAAAACTGTACATCAGAGGGGAGAGGTAAGTTAACTTCCAGATGTAGCATAATGGCGTCCATCCAAGTCTCAATAGTTTGAAATGACGGTCTGAAAATAAAAAATATATAAAATACAGATATAAAATCTATTTGTGCTACCAGACTTTTTCCAGGTACATACTCTGATCAGTTTAATAAGCCTCAATATYAATTGTGAGCAAATGYATTCTTTCAGACACAACACGTTTTTTGTCCGGATGTGACGCAGTCTATAAAAGGCCGCTTATGTCACTGTCTTCAACAATGGAACAGAAAGAAAGAACGACAAATGATGATGATTGATAATGATTAAGATGATAATATGATGACAATAATGGAGTGATGATATTAAATGTAATAAAGACGCTATATTATTCATTATCGATGATGATGATGATGATGATCAATGAATGATTGATTACCTGTTATCAGGATYTAAAGAACAGCATTTAAAGGCCGCTCGATATAACACTTCAGGACAGCCAGCACAGAACGTTTTACGAAAGCTTTGCTCATCGAGCCCAAAATCCTACAAAAAAAAAACACGYTAAGGTTATCTATATGATACACGAGATTCRTACGATCTTCTCAAGACTCCGACGAAGGATTAACGCCGGCCGAAACGTCAGTAAGTTGTTTCACCTATTTTTTACGGTTTTAAATTTATCTAAATTATCTACAACTGTTTCTTTAGAAACAGCGACGCAACTCACACTARTTYACCGCTAGTTTTGAGCTTAAATATTTTTCCTTTTATTCACATCGAATTGATGTAATAATTGATCTGCACTCACACTTTTTCTGGGSAGGTAATCTGGATCGGCTGACACTCTTCCAATTATCTGCAGAAAAAGATGCGATTCWYTCAATATCAGCAGSGATTACATACATGTAGATCTGCCTCGCACGTTGGGTGGGAAACGAAGGACTCGCCTTCTTCACGAGCAAAGWACTCGCCTTCTTCACGAGCACAGTATGCTATTCCATTAAAGGCCTGATAAGAAGCAACGCCAATAACTTGACAATCAGATGATGTTATTTACAGGTTTACARACTAACCTCGCACATTACAATACCATATGAAAACACATCYACTCGCTCATCGTAGATTTGACCTAAGCGAACAAAAGAAAAACATCGTTTRAAAATATCACAAAAGCAATTAATTGAAAATAATRKTCTSACCTTTCATCATTTCAGGTGCCATCCAATAAGGTGTCCCGACGACTGTATATCTAAAAATAATGTATATTCCAATTATTTTAGTCCGTTTGACTGTTTTTTTGTGGTTACTCTAGTTGTAGGCAAAGAATCACAATGTCATCATATAAAGTAGACTGTAACTCCGTCACGGTTGCGTCATAGGCACAATTGCAATCACTGGTCCTGATKACGTCATGTTTGTTTCGGTGAAGTGCATCATGGTATTGATAAAAGAAGGGCGAAGTTTCCTGTTCATCGGCCGTGTGCCTTCATTTTATGAGACCCATAGTGCACCTCGCCGAACATCACATGACGTCATAAATTTACGATCACTCTTTCACAGCCAAACAGGAGCGATGTGATCTCCTAAGATTTATTCCTTAAGCCATGATGTTGGTTGTTAGCAGTAAGTTCTTAAACTTAGCCTTGTGCTGTTTTTGATGTTTTTTGCTTGTCCTGTTTTTGAGAAATGCTATTTTTGACACCTAGTTTATTGYTATTACCTTTTTCTTGGTCCCGGTGGCCTATCAGGTGATTTGGGAGACTTAGGTGAATATGGTGGCGCTTCTTCWGTGATCCTTGCTAGACCAAAGTCAGCAACTACAACTGACATTCCCTGATTAAAAAACACGCATAAGCATAATGATATAGAATATGCCTATAACGTACTTTTCATATTGACACATTTTATGAAAGCCATAAAAAAAATATCATTAATAATAAAATGCTAATTGATGAATTGGGAAAAAAACATACATACCTCATCATCTCGAACTAAACAGTTATTGGAATTCAAATCTCTATGCATGACACACATCTCGTGAAGATATGCCTAACAAGACCATGGAAAACAAGAAACTTGAGCTTTTGTTACGGTCGTTTGCGTTGCTACTCGACCAGCCCAGRCAAAATTCGCGATGTGTCATTAGCGATAGACWRTCGTCAATCAACATTTTTAAATAAKACCGGTGGTTAGCGCCAAAGCACTTCAGTTGATTGACAGCATTCTATTSTTGTTTGCGGTGGAGAGTTGTATTTGAGACTGGTCGTGCAGCAATKAAAACAACGGTAAAGCATTAGACCTGCGAGAGACGATCTATGAATTTCTYGAMCTTATTAAAAACAGCATTTMTTTGCGTTTTATCAACAACATAACATGAAGGTAAGTAGAACAAACACGACTTATAMAAAGCAAYCATCTTACCATTCCCTCGGCTATGTCACGACAGAATTTCACYTTTTGTGTCCAGGATAAYGGTTTTATCTRAAACATTGCAATAGATTTATTAAAAATAACACCAGTTTTTTAATCTATCGATCGATAAACATTAATTTGTAATTTTCTATTGCAAGTAAGCCACGATATTTAAGCAAAAGGGATACAGTAATGAAGCAAACCGATATAAATTTTCCTATAGCAAGCAAAAAATACCTTATCATCTAGAACCTTGCGTAAGGTTCCACCTGAGATGTATTCTATRAAACAAAAAAAGACAAACCATTAACAAAAAATAGTACATTGCTATCTCTTGAGGAAAGAAAGAAACGGAAAAAGAAAAAAGAGAAAGGAGGAAAGTGATGGAGCCTAGGAGAAGAATGAAGGAAAGGACTGAAGGGGAAAAGCAAATAAACTGAGAAAAGGGAAGGATGGAAGACGGAAGGATGAAAAAATGAACATCAGGAGATGAAGGAAGGAAATTAGAAGAGGAGGGAAGAGGAAGGTAGGAGTGAAGAAAAGGAAAAGGAAGAAAGAATGGAAAGATGGTTGATGAACAAATGTGCAAATTATCTAGCATCTTTAGCCAAATACAATTAAAATRCATGTATCTCACCTGTAATAAGATTAAGGATTTGTCCCTTGTATAAAATGCCAATAAATCGTAAGACATGGGGATGATGTAGACTCTTCAATAGTGAAACCTTATTTTATAAGAAATATGCAGAACTTTACTATACAATATTTCTGAGTGTCTTTGATTATCATTGTTTATTCTTAAGTACAGTTGGTTGGTATGGACAGAACAAAAGACTATTTTTATTCTAATTTTCCAAAAWTAAGACCTCAATCATATCATTGATCCTTGACCTGACACAAAAGCCACCTACACCATAGCTGCACTGCCTGTGAATAGCCCACTACACATAATACAGGTAACCCAAGTATAACACAGGCATCCCAGCAAACTAACCTCCTTGAGAAAGTTATCTGTTTCATCCTTATTAAAATTAAGGAGCTCTTTCATGACCATCACTTCTCCTGTTTGTTTATGAGTAACCTATAACATTCCAATCAATAGATTAAATAATTTCAACTGGTATCATCAAACAGGCTAGGATTCAGATATTTGTGAGGGTGRGTATTTGTGTRTTGGGGGAGGGGGGAGCTTTTACTTTTAAAACTTGTCCAAAGAAACCTCTTCCAATTTCTTCACCGATGAGGAGATCTTTAGTACGAAACACCCTACAAAAAAAACAACAACATAAACATGCACCAAAGATGTAGCTTAAATTACGACAAAATATAGTAGTGCAGTTTTGTCTTGGTAATTTTAACCATGAATCAAAAGTTCAGTCTAACCTTTTTACAAACACTTAACAAAACAATCAAATATTAGACAATGAGTATTGTTTGCCATTGATAATAAAACTGAAATAATCTTTAATTTGATTATAAAGCTTACCTGTTATTGGCATGGTCATKCTTAAAAGACTGAACTCTAAATAGAGGTGACCTTATTTTTGGGACGTCAGATAATGAATTACTRAAAGAAAACATGTTAGTACACCTATTGTTCATTATTTTAACATTTATAGCTATAATGATTTATGTGGCCCTGTCTTTAAGCATATAGACATACCTTCTRGGCATTGACATAGCTTTTTCTCTCARYAACTTCATTTCGTCATTTGACAATTCTTCTTTTGTAACAGGAATTGAATGTTGATGYRAAATATGAGGTTGTCTGCTATCAGATAATTTCCTCCCTRCTGCAGCGGTAGATCCCGATCTCAAAAATGTCTTTTTAGAGAAGAAGGATATTGATTTTGCTCTCTGTTKAGCCTTTTCATCCTCCTCATCATCAAAACTATCTTGTTTTTTTATAGGTTTTAGTGAGTTTGGTGAGGAASAGGSCTTGATATTGATAGTACAAGTTGTTTTGTGCATTGGCTTGGCTTTCGGTGTTCTTTCTAGAGTAATCTGATAAACTTCATCTGGCTTACTTAAAAGAGTTGAACCCACCTACAAATTGTCAGTAGTTAGTGCTCTGTACAATGGATRAAAAAAAATAATAAAATATAAYGGTGACTGAGCTTACTCTYTCAACACTGTCATTTGTSACTTGGATGCCATTCAGCTCCAAGACTTTGTCACCTTCCTGCAATGCYTTAGGATCAACTAGTTTGGATCCTGCCTCAAACCTKCAAAATTAAGAAATACTTCACATTAGAGCTATCACATGTATCTCAYTGTTGTAGCTAAATATAGCCTTCAAAGCATTCATATTATCTGACGTACTGTTTGATGAAGATRCTGCTATTTCCAGTATCAACAGAAGTCTTTCTTGATGAGAGAGGTCCAACCTCAACATTAAGACCAATTCGTCTTTGTTTGGAATTGTCTGGTACTAAGTGAAGATGATGAACTGTATGCCAAGAGCTCACATCGAACTGATTGCATGCTTCCTGCATGTCCTTCTTGTAGCATCCACCACTGAAAACAAATTATTACTATCAAGGCTAAAAGACCATAATTTATGAAAATTCTTAGACATTGAATCTAAGACAAAAGAATAGTCTAATCATGCAGAGCACAGAAAAATAAGCATCTAAAAATAAAGGATGGAAGTCTGACGCCAGAAACATCATAGGAAGGAGGCGCAGCAAAAGTAGAACAAAAAAATAAAACTGGTTTTAAAATGGGAGTAGGAGAGTTGAAGTGGGTTGAAACAAATAATTAAGTAATAATTATATTATGTTATGCAATTCAATCTGGGTAGCAATACATACCATAATAATCTATGTCTTTCCACCATGACATAATCATCCTCATCAGTCAAGTATCGTTTGCAAAGATTACAGGAAAAGCATTCTGTATGAAATTTGTGGTCTCCAATAACCTTAAAACAACACATTAAACTGATATTTACATAAAGCCAGAATCATATAGTAAAATAAACAGTGATGAAGAATTACAGAATACATTGTAAGGGGATATTGAAACATGTTCTCATTGACAWTGAGGAAGTAAATCTTTCAAATAACATTTTCTAGAATAAAATACTTTCTTTGATTAGGGCATAGTYTGGATATAAATCTAATACTGTCAACTGAAATCATTCCACCATAACTGTCTTTGCTAAATATAGTTCAAGAGATAAAGTGTATCAGACAACATTTCTTACCAAATTCCACATGCTATTCATGAGAAAATTTGAGGAAACATAATTTTCCATGAGTACATGTTGTGGTCAGTTAACCAAATTAATTAATAATAAAATAAAACCACATAAGCTGATTTGAACACTTAAAATGCRTGTGTAGGGASTGTGGGAAAAATGGTACTTAAAAAATCCAGTGTCTTTTTAAAAGAAAAACAAACACTTTATTGTATTATATAAGTAGTTTCCCTGCTGCTTAAACATTAGAATTTCTGACAATGCCATTATCCTCGAAAGTTCGATTGTCAAAAAAAAACTAGATAAAGGCATAGTTATGGTTATAAATGATTATAAATCGGTTCAACGATTTTGAAGCGTCTACCATTTCAAAAGTCGAGTGCGATTTTTCGAACCATTGGCAAATATTTAAACTATGAAATATTATTCAAACAGCTGAAAGAGCAAAGCAAAATAGCAAAGATACAATATTGTAATATTTGTACAAACCATTACTGGTCCCGTTATCTTTGAGCCACAATGATGGCAAACTGAGGCATACTTTAAAAGATAGTCTTTTCGACATAACAGCTCGCTGCCACAAGAGTAATACAGCGAAAGAGGTAGCTTTTCCTCGCAAATTTGACATCTAAAATAAGAAAAAAATCTTCTGATGACATTTGCAGCTTAGTGTATAGTTATAACTTTAGTGTTAATGAGATCACTTCTCTTCCGATGCAATTAGAAATGATAGGACTATATGAAGAAGTCTAAATTTCGTCACTTGCGCGCTGGAAGTGACCTCGCTGAAGCTCACCTGAAACAATCTTCGTGAAAATGACTGCGAATTGCTTGAAGACAATTTCTGGTAGTTATATTTTTCTTGCATGCTCGGCAAGGAAMAGCGATTATTTGGTTAGACATTTGATTGTTAAGGAAAAAGACATTTGACTTTAGTTGTTTTCAAACTGTTTGCCTCTTGCTGACCTGCATAATGTACCTGACGTCGACTTGACACCAATCCATCACGGTTATAGTAAAGGTGCCTGTCTGCCTGCCTGCCTGATGAGTAATTTTACTCCTTTCAAAAAAGTGTCTAAATAACCATTACAACTGCTCAAAAGCTTTGCCATAAAGCATGATAGTCTTTATTGTAGGAATTAGGAATGATTTCATGAATGAATGAATTCGATGAATGGAGGTAATAAACATGAATGAATAAGCTTCTTATGTTGATTGTAAAGCTTTTATAAAATGTTTTCAGAAACATCAAGATATATAAAAACAGAAAACCCAAGATGTMTGGCTTTAAAACCAGAGCCTGAGAAAATTACAGGAAAGAAAGAAATTGACTGACTAAATTGATGACCACCCCACTAAAATTGCAAATTCTACCTCTGCGTTTCGTCTTGCGTGACATAAGAGTCGTGCATCGGTATACAAAAAACATGGCGGACCTCAGTGGAGTAAAAAAGGTAAGAATTCGGTTTGGTTTGGTTGCTAACCAAGCATAATCAATGAATATTGTGCATAGAGCTCAATGCAAAAGCGTAATTTTTCATAAAAGGCTAAAACCAAGCTACTTTTTTTGAGGCTCAAACATGCTACTTTTGCACAATTTTTAACTCGCTGTCTGTGCAGCTTCAAATGAAAACAAATGAATAAAGCAGCCGCAAAATCGTTACAAAAAASTTTGAGTTGAAAGTCTTATAATGCAATTTGACTTAACAAAATGTGTTTTGGTTTTCTGTCGAGATACTAGAGGGCCTCTTCGCTTTGAATATTTCTTCCAATCAAATTTCTTTAATCTGTTTGTTASTTATATGAATTTTACAGCTGGAAACAAGTGTAGTATAGGGAAAATAAAGAAAATCTATAAGTTATAATATGGTGGGCTATAGCCCATGCATTTTGATTAAAAATCGGCCGTTTTTGGCGTTATAATAAAGCCATTTTATCGAAGTGATGATTTCAACACAGGAAGCCCAATTCAAGTTCTCCAACAAAGCGGCGACATATATAGCTCACTCAGTCAATTTATGTTATTTTCTAGGAAAGAGTGTTGGTGGTAGGAGCTGGAGTGATTGGACTAACGACAGCATTAACACTTGCTGAACACGGGTATTTATTAGGCATTGAGGCCAATGCAAGCTTGCCGTTTTGCATCGACTTCCTAGAACTTATAAAGCATGACGGGGGATGTTGTCTTCGCACTTTTTTTGACCGAAAGTTCCGTTTTGTGATTTCTTTATAAATTTTCGCGTATTTACCGTACCGTTTAATGCATATCATTTATAGTACATCAAAATGCGTTTCCTATCGGCATACTGTTTTCAGAAAACTGCGTGTCTGTTAGTTACCTGTTAGGGGCTTTCATTTATTAGCTGTCATGGGGGAGGGGGATATGGAGGGGGGGCGGCTGAAGATGTTTATACTTTTCATGCAAAGGGGAATTATAATCTTAGTCTTAAAATATGGGGGTTGTGATTTGATTTATGTCATGCTGGGGGTGGTTATACAATTTTGCAGACAGATGTATAAAATTTTGCAAGAGCCCCACCCATCCCAGCCCTCCCTGAGCTAATAAATAAAAGCTCTCTTATTTGTCTCTCAGGTACAGAGTAAGAATTTTAGCACGAGAATTCGTCGCATGTGATGATAAATCAAAACTAACGTCGCAAGTAGCAGCAGCATTCTGGGGCATAAACACGTCTCCTGGCTGCGAAGAAAAGAAAAAGGTATTGTAAATATGTAAATTAAGTCAAACATCCCGATTTTATATTAACTGAAGCCCCTTGAATCACCACCGTCGCGTTCTTGGCCGTATTTTTGAATGTTTTTGAGGTTATTTATTTTTAAGGGTTGGTCATGACGGCTTTTTGCCAGGGGCTGCATAGGCATCAGAGAATGACGTCACATATAAAAAATACCCATGATCCACCACTAAAGGCACCGGCTGATACATTAGTTTTGACAGACTAGGGTTCTGTAGAAAAAAACTCAAAGCTAAAAATGTAGTGTGTAAAGAGATTTTATTAGGATCACAAGACGACAAGAGGAAAATGGACAATTACAACAATCAATGATGACTTAGGCGACTCGAAGTAGCTTTCTCTTATGGGAAAAATGCATGCTTGAGGCGGGTGCCCAAAAAGATTCAAACTGCCATAGATTAGCCTCTATTGTGTGCGCCTCGTGAGTAAAACATGAATACGAGCGCTCTTTCTTTAACTCCACTTTAGAATTGGTGTTTATATAGCTATAAAAAGTTCGTCAAACTAGCTGAGAATCCACAGAAAACAGGAGTGTTTATAAGGGAACTACTATTCGTCTATCCACATCTGGTAAGTACCAGTATCACCGACTCAATAGGCAATGCGCAGTGACGCCATTTTGTGCAGCAAAGGATGATGGTAGTTGTAGTCCTCGTACTTTTTAACTGAAATGTTTTTGCTTTTTCTAAGGACAAATAGAGGATTTGTGCCGTTTTTGAAAAGAAAATGTAAAAACGACTTTAAAGCACAAAATGCACAAAAATGCACATTGCCTACAGACGGACCTTTGCTGATATCAATGTTGTACAAGTGTAGCAGCAAATTTTAACAGCACTTGACACATGCTGAAGAATGGAACGTTTCATTTATTGTAGATTGACATGGACCCGCACACTAAAGAAACGAAAAGCAATTTTCAAAAGTACTTGCCTGGAAATCCCCTTCGTCATGATAAAAACCTCTTGAGGGAAAAAGGTAACTCGTAAAAATCCACTTCATGTTTCCCTGCGCCATCTTGAAAGGTCCCGGCCTTGGCATCGAAGCGAGATTACTGTTTAGCGAGAAATGATGTAAAATTGAGAAATTTGGCCTTTAGATATGTGATACAATTTCTAGGTCTGTCCTTGGAATCTGGACTTCAGGACGCCATGTCGATACACGTGCCGGTGATTGAAACAGACATGTTTATGTACTGGTTGACTCAACAGGTGAAAGTGCTTTCAAAATACATATTATCAACGGAAGACTTCATGCTTTTCATAACAAACAACAAAGAATTTCGTAGCAAAACGTTTAAACCAAACGGTGCTGTAGATTTTTGTAAGAGAAGCCGAAAACGGCGATCTCCGCATTACCTAATTTGGCGCTCTTTTGTAATATTTTCCAGAGCTTACTTTGTTTGGACTCCACTATAGAAACATTTTGAAAATGATGAACATATTCGCAATGGCTAAACAAAACCGTATCAAAATGTAAAATTTATATCTTTATTGCAGTGCATATCAAAAGGTGTGGACTTCATCCAAGGAACCGTCGATTCCTTATTAGAAAACTGCGATTCTCTACGAAGAACACAACGAGCGGACTGTATTGTCAACTGTACAGGGCTATCAGCAAGAAGTCTAGTTCAAGATCACAATGTTTATCCCCGTTTAGGTAT